TGACATCAGAAAAACTTTTCTAGTTATGTGACTATTTTCCTTTGATGATGGCACTAGTGTTGTCATATGTATGATAATTATTATGCATGTATTGGTACAGTAATTTCTTCATAGATCCCACATATATCCTGAAATTTGTTACCCACATGCAAATATACAGTAATTTTGTTATATATTACTTATGTACAATAAACACATTGAATTTTAATTTACATTAATAATAATTCATAATATATGATTTCAGTATGTTATATTAATGACAGAACAATATTGCAAAGTTAGTATGATAATATTTATGCATTAGGCACTATGCTACACACTACAATGGACAATTATAACAATATTTTCATAAACTATTGTACTATATACTATACTACAGTACATAAATGTACTATACTATATGTAAATACTAACTATTCAAATTTCCAAAATGGGCTACATTTCCTGTTTTATCATTCAACTCATATTTTATACTATTTTTAAATTAATATAAAGATTTTTTTATCATTTGTATTATTAATTATTATTTCAAATTTAAATATAAAATTTATTATTTCTATACTTCCTTATAAACAAAATTTTAGATGTTTTAAAAAAGATATAGTTGTATATTTGATCAATATTTGCATATTGATCAAGTATACAACTATATCTTTACCAAGTATACCAAATTTGTACATTAAATTAATCTAAATCATTACTACATGTTTTTATAATAAACTATGTATAATTAAATGTTACATTTCTATAAAAACACTTAACATTTAACAAGAATTTATAAATCTCTCTCTTTTTTCATTGATGATAAATAATTAATGATTTTACTTTGTATTGATTGTTATTATTTGACAGAAAATTTCACAATAAAAACAATCTAATTATTGAAAGATTTTAAAATTTTTAAACTTAAATTTCTTCATTAATATGATTAATGAATTCCTGAATTCAACTAAAATCAATTTTATTTCATTTCAAGAAAAATTTTATGTCAATATGGTGTTGTATTGTGTATTGAATAAATGTATTAGGCAAATAATATGGTTTTAATAGCAGATCATAATGTCTTATATAAGTAAACAATTTATAAAAACAAAATTTAAGTTAAAGCAATGTTTTAAATAAAAATAATAAAATTGACTGTAATTAGCAGAACTCTTAATATTAATAATTGTTTGGAAAAAGTGTAACTGATATATAGAGATTTGAAGTTCAAATTTCATACCAATGCAGAAATATAGGAGTTTTGATGTTACTGATGTTTTTTAAAAAGCAAACATTTAAATAAGACATTGCAGTAACTTTATATCTTGGATAAAAATATATACTCAAAAATTATTTTTATACAAAATTCAATAAAGGAAATATATAAACTGTTAATATGAAAACAAGGTTTTTACTTTATCATGAGTAACCAAAATTTAAATGCTTGAAAAATATAGTTTTAAATCAGACAAAAATTATGTACAGAATGTAAGAGAACGAATTTTATTAAAACTGCATTATAGATGAATCACAATTAAAATTTAATACATTAATTTTAAAATCAAAAACACACCCTAAATAATGAAAAAAGTTGTTAAACAAAGATAAGTAATGATAAAAGAAGCAAAATGAAATTTAGCCAACAAAATTCATTCAATAATTTATAAATATTTGTTTTCACTAATAATAATGACTTGTCTACTAATTGCTAGATGAAATCAAAAACTATAAATATTCAGGTACAACATGGATAGAAGTGATATTAAAATAATTATTCCCATGTTGACATAATGTGAAGTTATTTGGGCACTTAAAAAATCAAGTCATCTGAGAGTGAAGGAAAAAAAAATCTCCAAAGTTTTCATGTAATGAAAAGACAGCTTTTGTTTTATAAAATCAGTTTTTGTTTTAAAAATAAATTTAAGGTCAGATTAACAAAAAGTAATACACAGGGTGTTTTTTTTTTAAACTGACAGTACTCAGAGACATCTGTAGAGCAATCTAACATTCATTTATTGTTGTACAAATATAGTACAGACCGGCCCCGCATTGAGCATTACCGGTTATACACATTAAATATTACAGTACTCAAGATAAAATTTTGTTACGTGTACAGAAATGATGAAAGCAAATACTTAATAGAAGAAAATAAGTCAATAAATACATAAAATAAGATAAAAACAGATAAATTAAGAAACAATGAACTTAACTATATACAAAATTATGTACATAAAATCAGCAAGATTGCAAAGACATAGAGTTACCTTTAATAGAAAAATATAATTAACCTGAATAATGAATGTAAATAAATACTTAATGTAGCGTCTTGCTGATTGGAGACTGGCGCATACAGTTATAATTGTAAGTAACTCGCCATATCATGTAAAATGTCCAATTTATACAAAATGTTCAGGAACATCCAAATAGCATGTAAAATGCAATAGTCTAGAGGTTGCAAGACATCACAGTATAGATGTTTATCACAGTTTCAGAAACGCATTATTTTAAGGAGTGAATTTCCTGTTGGTCTGTGACGAAGTTCANTCGAAGCTGTGAAAAATGCTCAATCTTTAAATTCAAGCATCATTCATAAACGTCACAGTATTATTGCTGAAATGGAAACAATGTTAAAATTATGGCGTAATAATCAAGTAAATGTGAAAAATTGTAAAATAATATAGGCCTAATTTGTTATACATATGTATTATCTAAGATTTTATTAAACATTTTTTCTAAATTATTGTTTTCTTTAGTCTCCGGCCCCAATTAAAAATTATTTGTATGTATTTATATGCAAAATTATACCCCGACTTACGCGAATTCGACTTACGCGGTTACCGCTCGGTCCCACCTATCCCGTAAGTTTGGGGTATTACTGTACCCAAATTTGCCGGTAGGGATGGACTTGGCACTGTTGTAGTGAAACAGCTAAGAATTTGCATAACGCACTGGTAACACCTCAAAATCCAAATTCACAATGACATGGGCGACAGCAGCGCCACCTAATTTGCCTTAAAAGATAAGGACAAAAGTCTGAAGTGCATTCTGAACGTCAGCAGAATTCAACATGCATATTTTGTTACCTCAGCATGCGTTGCTTGTGAAACTTTATTATCTTAACCAATCTAGCGCACGGGGCACTCTTCGTGACTTTAGAACCCATAAAAACCTGCACAGAGGTCCTCTATCAATTAATGCATTGAAAAACTTGATAAAGAAATTTTAAGAGACAGGATCCTTAGCAGTTTGGCCTGGTAGAGGGCAGAAACCGCTGTCTGCACAGATAGATAGTGATGTTGTGACTGCACTTGTTGAAGGTTCACAAGGGACCGTTGTTGGTAGTTGCAGCGGCTGAGGAGTGGCATGACAATGATGCTTTCAATGGTATGGCAAGTTCTGCGAAAAGTTCTCAAGTTCTATCTGTGCAAGATAAGCTGCCTGCAAGAATTAAAACCAAACAACCATGCTACATGGTTGACATTTGCTCTGATATTTCTTGCCAGGATGGAGCTGGACGATGCTTGGCCATGGATAATTCTCTGGGGAGATGAGGCCCATTTTTACCTACATGGGGATTTGAACACTCAAAATTATCACATTTGAGCTTCAGAACACCCCAGGAGGTTGTGCAAATCCCATTGCATTCACCAAAACTCACTGTTTGGTGATTTAGAGCAGATTTCGTCATCAGACCATTCTTTTTTGAGAACATCACTCGAACAGGACCACAGACCTGTACCGTTACTAAGGAAAGGTATTGCAATATGCTGACTAGTTTTGTCATTCCACAACTTCAGCAATGACAATACCTGGATGAGACGATCTTTATGCAGGATGGAGCACCACCACATATTGGTCTCATGGTGCAGAATGTGTTGCGCCAGCACTTCACTGAAGAAAGGCTTTTCACTTGCATGGCTGCCTTGCTCCCTGGATCTGACCCCATTAAACTTTTTCCTATGGGATACTGAAAGTCCAAGGTCTATCTTGGTGGTGTCCCAAACTTGATGACCTTGAAGGACAACATTTCTCAAACTGTGATGAACATTTCTGCAGACATGTTATGTTTGACCATAGATAACACAGTGTTCAGGATGCAATGTGTTGTCCAGCAGGACAGTGGTCACATTGAAGGAGGGAGAAGGTTATTTTCTGATTAATTAAACTTTCGTTATTGCACTGAAACCTCTGTCTGATTATTAATTCATGTGTTTGTTAATTGCAACTGGGTTTTATGCAAATTCTTAGCTGTTTCGCTACAACAGCGCCAAATCCATCCCTACTGGTGAATTTGGCTACTACTTTTTCCTTCGTGGAATCTCTTTCCCATATCGTCCTTAGTCGCCAAATTTGGGAGAGTTACAGTCCGGCTGTTAGATTGCTCTACAGATGTCTCTCAGTATCATCAGTTTAAAAAAAAACACCCTGTACTTAATATTTTATATTCCATAAAATATTTTTCTGCAAACATAGCAATATATAAACAAAAAAATAAATTTACAACATACAGACACATNAGAGTTACAGTCCGGCTGTTAGATTGCTCTACAGATGTCTCTCAGTACCATCAGTTTAAAAAGAACACCCTGTACTTAATATTTTATATTCCATAAAATATTTTTCTGCAAACATAGCAATATATAAACAAAAAAATAAATTTACAACATACAGACACATTGCATAATTAATTAATATACAGATGAAAATTATAAGCATTTACAAAAAAAAAAAAAATGCTGCATAACTGTAATGAAGTATTGATCACATAAAGTTATGCTTTGAAAAAATACTAACACTATGTGGAAAGCCACATAATGTTATCATCATATTATTTCTGAAATAAATGATTTCTATCAAATTTAAGAATCATGGAAGAAGTTATAGTAATAATTGGATTGTTTTTTATAATCACGTCTTCAGTTTTAATAAAAATATAACATTTAGATAATTACCAAATAGATTCTAGAAATAATGTACTTATATGCTATATATTTTATATATTAATTGCATTTACTTACTTATGGATTTATGTATGTGAAATATTTGGGAAGAACTTTTATTACATTTCTGAAATTTATTTGGCAAAATTGGCATTACTGTTACATAATAACTTCCTTTATTCACATTTGGGAATTCTTTAAAAATCATTTTATTGCTTCTGCTTTTTGAATTCTCTGCTATTAATATTTCATTTTTGATAACATTGTCCTGATTTTCGGATTTAGATATTAAACACACTTCATACTGAGACACGTTCCAAACTTCTGCTGCTTTTTGAATTTTAATCCTGACAACATTTTCATTGAGACTTCCTAAATTTATCATTATAGTAGTAGTATTTATTTTGCAAGGATTTACTGTATTCTGCAAGTAATCTGAAAATAAATTAATAAATAAATATTAAATTAATAATTGTTATTGTAAAAAACATAAATAGGCATAGAAATATTTTCCATTTTAATTTAACGCTACTTCAAAATTTAAACTTTTTAATGCTTTATTGGAATACAGTATCTTTCAAATTTTTATATAAGAATCTTTTCATATAAAAATTTTAAAAAGTGATACAATAAAATATTAAATAATCTATTAAAAATTTTTAAATGAATATAATTTATAGTTTTAAATATACACATGTAAAGTAAATGATGTTACTATAAACTGGATGAATGCAAGGCATTTAAGTCAAGCATATGTGTTAAAGTACAACAAGATTTTGAGTCTAAATACATTAATTAAAAAAATTGTTTATTTATTGATTACACATTACACTATTCAAAAAATGTTCTCTTTATAGTACTTGTTTCATAGTTTCAATTTTATTTATTCTATTAATATTGAAATATGGATCTATCATCATATCTTTTAGTTTTCACACTCTGCAACATTTTCTTTTTCTCCTATATCAATTACTAATTTTTCCGGTGTTAGTCCTTGAGTTTTGTTTATGTCAATGAGAATATGATCAAAATTGGAAATTGTCTTCTTGTGCAATCCACATCATTAAATTTTTCTATATCTGGAGATAAAATTGCCTTCTTGTCAATATTGTCTCCCATTCTCGTTGCTTCAGTTTTCCAATTGCAACACGAATATATTTCTCAATAGTTGTTGGCTTGTATCTTGCCTTATAGATGTAGTTAATTGAAACATTTCTTTGCAGTATACTAAAAGAAGTTTGTCCTCAAGAAGAAAATTTGTCTTTAGAGTTTGCAAAGAGAGGTATATCTTTCACAAAAGACGACTGCTAGATACCTCTAAGAAGTAAATGCCTGGTCATTTCCTTTGCTTCACAGCATCTGTTGTGAATTTTTTACATTAGTCTCAACCTGATCATAGGATATTCATAGAAAATCACGTAGTGAATAGTACTTAATGCAACCTGAAAGTTCTGACGTTACTCTCCAACTAATTCTTTAAAAGAACAAATTTGAATTCTTAGAAAACTGTGAATTATTTTCTCATTCACTTTGATAAATGCAGCACTGGTGGACCAGTACTTGAATGCTATCATTTCAGTTTTTTTTTTGCTTACTGATTTTACTATGGCCTTAATTAGTAGGCCTTTCCAATGCCTGCTTTTCAAATTTCAGCACAAAATCAGTTTCACTACTACTTGATTTTACTTTTTTCAGTTTGTTTTTTGCTTCAATGGCTCTTGTCTTAGCAGATTTTTTCATTTTAGACATCTTTATTTTTTAAAAACAAAGCAAAAACAGAATAATTAAACAAATAAAAGAGTATCAAACAATTTACCTTTAGACCAAGTTGATTCCTTGATATAAACTTTTTTGAAAGAGTATTGCGATAGATAAACACTGAAACCAAAATACAGAAAAATAATTTCTTTCTTCCCCCCCAAAAAAATAGAAAATGAACATGTTGCAAAAGTAATNGAATTAAAAAAATTGTTTATTTATTGATTACACATTACACTATTCAAAAAATGTTCTCTTTATAGTACTTGTTTCATAGTTTCAATTTTATTTATTCTATTAATATTGAAATATGGATCTATCATCATATCTTTTAGTTTTCACACTCTGCAACATTTTCTTTTTCTCCTATATCAATTACTAATTTTTCCGGTGTTAGTCCTTGAGTTTTGTTTATGTCAATGAGAATATGATCAAAATTGGAAATTGTCTTCTTGTGCAATCCACATCATTAAATTTTTCTATATCTGGAGATAAAATTGCCTTCTTGTCAATATTGTCTCCCATTCTCGTTGCTTCAGTTTTCCAATTGCAACACAAATATATTTCTCAATAGTTGTTGGCTTGTATCTTGCCTTATAGATGTAGTTAATTGAAACATTTCTTTGCAGTATACTAAAAGAAGTTTGTCCTCAAGAAGAAAATTTGCCTTTAGAGTTTGCAAAGAGAGGTATATCTTTCACAAAAGAAGACTGCTAGATACCTCCAAAGAAGTAAATGCCTGGTCATTTTCCTTTGCTTCACAGCATCTGTTGTGAATTTTTTACATTAGTCTCAACCTGATCATAGGATATTCATCGAAAATCACGTATTGAATAGTACTTAATGCAACCTGAAAGTTCTGACGTTACTCTCCAACTAATTCTTTAAAAGAACAAATTTGAATTCTTAGAAAACTATGAATTATTTTCTAATTCACTTTGATAAATGCAGCACTGGTGGACCAGTAATTGAATGCTATCATTTCCTAGAGTTTTTTTTTTTGCTTACTGATTTTACTATGGCCTTAATTAGTAGGCCTTTCCAATGCCTGCTTTTCAAATTTCAGCACAAAATCAGCTTCACTACTACTTGATTTTACTTTTTTCAGTTTGTTTTTGCTTCAATGGCTCTTGTCTTAGCAGATTTTTTCATTTTAGACATCTTTATTTTTTAAAAACAAAGCAAAAACAGAATAATTAAACAAATAAAATAGTATCAAACAATTTACCGTATTTTGACGAGTATAAGTCGCTGTCAAGTATAAGTCGCACCCCTATTTTGAGACAGAAAATTTAGAGAAAACTTTTTTAATGGGAGATTGCATTTTATTCTTTTTTTTATTCAAGAATATGACGGATGCATTTTATTCGTTTTTTCATTCAAGAATATGACGGATGGGTGAATCGATACCTTTATTAAACTGAAATAATCGTCATTTCTTAATGTAAACTCAGAGGTCACACGATGACACTCGACAGAACATGGCGGCGATGACTCGTGTTTCGCTATTCTGATAATCTAGGTATTCTAGCCAACTCTAGCCATTTGGTTGAGGGACCAAGTGCTTAACAGATCACTGCACAGGTTTGTCCCTAGAGTGGTCCACTACTGTAGATAATTTCACTGTAAAAATGGTTACCTGTCGAGTATAAGACGCACCATGATTTTCAGCCCCAAAAAGTAGTAAAAAAAGTGCGACTTATACTCGTCAAAATATGGTACCTTTAGACCAAGTTGATTCCTTGATATAAAGTTTTTTGAAAGAGTATGGCAATAGATAAACACTGAAACCAAAATACAGAAAAATAATTTCTTTCTTCCCCCCCAAAAAAATAGAAAATGAACATGTTGCAAAAGTAATTCACTAATAAGAATTTTCAGAGAATGTGGACGAAATGGAAGCACATGTAAAAGGAATGAAAGCAAACTATTCAAGCGTGCTTTTTTACCTTAAATAACACGGCACATGTATAAAAATGCCATCTATTGGCTTAAGAATTAAGTCTTTATTATATTTTATTTAATCACTTGACTGATTTCTATCGAAAACTATACAATTCATCTCATATATACAAATAAGTTATTCTGAAAATTTCATGAATTTTGGTTGCTTAATTCTTTATCTATTGCATCAGGCAGGGATTTCTGAAATTAAGGAAAAATTTGAATTAATTTCATATTTGCATTTAACACTAGACATACTGTAAATAATCTTTTATAAATCACAATAAATTTGGAGTATTTTGATAATTAATTAAGTGACACTTCTGATATTAAAAGTGTCAATTAATCTTGTTTTTCTTCTTTAGTTAAAATTAGTCTAATTAGTTGCTACATAAATCTTCATACTTATATATTATTTAGCCAAATTTGATTTTCATCCAATCCAAAAACTGATTTTGATCCAAGATGATAATCCAGATATGGCTGACTTCTAGAATACTAATTATTTGCTTTATTAGTGCCTTTGTATAGTTTAGTGCAGAGGTTCTCAGAAAACATTTTTTCATGATCATACCTGTGCTTTTCTGCATTTACAATATTACAAGATTAAAAAAAAAAATGAATGAAATGAGTAATCCATGTAAAATAAAATTAAATTGAAAACTATCCAAAATGGTGAATATTTTGACAATAGTAAGCAAAATGTTACAAAATTGACCNTAAAAGTAAAAAATATGAAAAATATTGCTGATACTTCTGATCAAGATCAACAAAAAAAATGAGATGGCGACAATACTTTATAAAAAGAAAACACCCTCGTTTAACTAAAATTAATTAATGTTAACAGTACTTTTAATTATGCTTGTTAGTTAATTTATTAAACATATTACTCTTAAAGAACAGTATACTTTTTCTGATGTTTGGAATATAACCATATGTTTTGCATTAGTCCTTTTTTTCATATAGCATGGATTCACATAACATGGCACGTTTTCAGAATGTATCTACCATGTTACACGAAAGATACCTGTACTTTTATCATCATATAAAAATAGTAAGTACAATAGAATATTTTGAAAATATTCTGAAAGTTATTTAAAATAANATGCAAAAATCAGATTGGACCAATTTTGGAATTTTTACTTACTATGTAAAAAAAAAAAATAAGTATAAGTTTATCTATAGTTTATGATATTTCCATATAAATAATTATATTTTAGCTCATTTGTGGCACAATATGGCAATGAGCCAGATAAACTGACCTCGCAGTTTATCTGGCTCATTGCCTTAGAGTATATTCATTTTTTCTCATGATACTATATTTCAATTTTCATCTGGTTTGAATTCATATAAAATATGTATATCATTCAAAAATAATAAAATATCTACAGTAAATGATCTTTGATATGCCTAACAGTATCCTTAATTTAAATGGTATTGGGATTATTTTTATTGATTTAAAACAGTCATGAGCAACCTGCAGCCCTTCAGGTGTTATTTTGCAATTGAGGCCTAGGTTTAAACTTGAACGAAATCATCTGATAATGCAATTTCTTATAATATGGAACATATCCAGTGTTGTATGGGACTCTGCTGTATTAAACAATTTGGATATATTTATTGACAAGAAATATAATTGGTAATATATCTCATTATTGTCAAAATATTCTGATTTTAATAATTAATAAGAACTCCATACAATAAAATGGAAATTTTGGCTGATTTACACGCAAATGTAATCAAATCTCTCCCTTCTTAAACTCCTCAATCACTGCTAAAGAAATCATTATGGAGAATTCATCAGTGGATCCTCAAATATATCAAATACAATAGATACAGTATGAAATTCTGTTCATTTTTCATATATCAATTACTCATTTATACTGTGTCACATTTTTTAAAAAGTGCATGCTACAGTAAATAAAGTGAGTAAAATTACATTTTTTTTTTCTTAAAATTGTCTTTCAAAGTAATAAATAACATTGCCACCATAATATTGAATGTTTGCTGAAATAAATCTTCACCTATAATTAAAATTAAATAAATATATTACATAAAATGCAAAATAATTCAAATTTTGCATTTTATTCTAATAATAAATCAGTGTTGTTTGTGTTTTTTAAAACTATATCAACTTGAATACGATATTTAGTAAAACAATATAAGCATCAAATACTTAAACAATTTTAATTATAAATAAAGAGGTAGTACACAAAAATCACAGTTGCAAAATTTAATTTTACAATTTTTTTTTGTTGTTTACATGAAAATATCTATATTTTTACATTCTTAAAACAATGACTAGAACAATCTTAAATGGCATAATTCTCTTAATTCTTTAAACTTTTCTAACATAGAAATAGCAATACAATATCCAATTATTGAATAAAACTCAATAACATGCTTTGGCTCAGTTTTATATTTCTTAAAAATATCTATTATCCTGAAGATTATTTTTCTCAAACATTAAATTTAAAAGATTCTCATTAATATTTTATTACTATTTTTATTAATTATCATCATATTCTTATACCAGTACTGTTTCAAGTATTTTATTATTTACAAACTAATATACTGTTTTATCTCTATCAACTAACATATAAAAAATGGTTGTTATTAACAACTTAATATATTTCAAAGTACTTCACATGTAAAAATAATTTTAATATTTTGATCGATTTTATGTTACAAACACTTAACAAGAAATTGCAACAATATTTCAATTAATACTGTGTGTAATATTTCAAGAATTAAGTCTTTACTCTTCTTTTGAAGATATAATTTTTGAATACTGTTTTACATTTTAATTAATTTTAAACATTTGCAAATAAATAAAAGTAACCCTCATTTCATGATGGTTTCTGACAATTCACAATACCAAAAGATCAAAGATATAAAACTAAAAAAATTTTTTAAATGTGAAACTACAATTACTTGATACAATGCAAGTCAACAGGAATAGGAGAAAGATGATAATGAAGTTCCTCTTAAAAGATATGAAAATAAATAAATTGCAATGCATTCTTTCAGTCATGGTAATTCTTACAGATGAGCTGAGCTCTGCAAGACAGACTATAACCAAAAGCAAAGTGAAAGAGATGTAAATGCTATCTGTAGTCCTTATTCTGAAATTTCAATAGTTAACAATGTATGCTTTTTGCAATTA